AAGGATCTTTTAGCTATTTGATTTTGAATTTTAAGACCCCTTGAAGTATAAATATTTGATGAAAAATGTTATTTGGCCTTACTGCTATTAGCCCATACAAACGCATTAAATAACAGATTCACTACATGGAACAACAGATAGTCCCCCCAAAATTCAGTTTGTTCTGAAGTGTCTGTCCTATGTCTAAGAGATTTAAGAAAGATCAGGAAACTTCTTTTTGGGACATGTATTTAACCCCTTATTTTTGGCAGTAAACAGTCTCCATATATACTTCCATTCATTTTTTCAACTGGTACCGGGGACCTTCAGATGAGTCTTGTGAGGCCGGTGGGCGTCCTAGAGCAAAACAACCGACATGTTCGTGAGAGTCTCACCTTTACATAGGGGGATCATATTCGTGTGTAGCCCAAACTGTTTGGACGCTACAGACATAAGTTGGCAGATCGGCTGTACCAACTTAGCTAAACGGAGAACATCAACGTGAGAGTCTCTTCTTTCCATAGAGGGGTCATAATAGTTTAAAGGCCGTTCGGACGCTACAGACAATTTTGTGAGAAGACTGATTTTCGGGATGAATCATGGTCAGACAAACACCGCTCTAGCTTGGTCACCTTTCACCGTAGATGCGGAAGTGCGACATACAGTGCATTCGGAAACTATTCAGACCACTTGACTTTTTCCACATTTTGTTACGTTACAGCCTTATTCTAAAAATGATTAAATCGATCAATCTACAAACAATACCCCAAAATAACAAAGCAAAAACAGGTTTAGATTTTTTTGCACAAAAATAATAACTGAAATATCACATTTACATAAGTATTCAGACCCTTTACTCAGTACTTTGTTGAAACACCTTTGGCAGCGATTACAACCTCTTCTTGGGTATGACGCTACAAGCTTGGCACACCTGTATTTGAGGAGTTTCTCCCATTCTTCTTTGCAGATCCTCTCAAGCTCCGTCAGGTTGGATGGGGAGCGTCGCTGAACAGCTATTTTCAGGTCTCTCCAGAGATGTTCGATCGGGTTCAAGTCCGGGCATTCTACAGGGCCACTCAAGGACATTTAGAGACTTGTCCCAAAGCCACTCCTGCGTTGTTTGGCTGTGTGCTTACGGTCGTTGTCCTGTTGGAAGGTGGACCTTCACCCCAGTCTGAGGTCCCGAGCGTTCTGGAGCAGGTTTTCATCGTCTGGCCACTCTACCATAAAGGCCTGATTGGTGGAGTGCTGCACAGATGGTTGTCCTTTTGGAAGGTTTTCCCATCTCCACAGAGGAACTCTGGAGAGCTGTCAGAGTGACCATCTGGTTCTTGGTCATCTCCCTGACCAAAGCCCTTCTCCCCCAATTGCTCAGTTTGGCTGGGTGGCCAGTTGTAGGAAGAGTCTCGGTGATTCCAAACTGCAGAAATATTTTGGTACCCTTCTCCAGATCTGTGCCTCGACACAAACCTGTCTCGGAGCTCTACGGACAATTCCTTCGACCTCATGGCTTGGTTTTTGCTCTGACGTGCACTGTCAACTGTGGGACCTTATATACAGTGGGGGAAAAAAGTACTTAGTCAGCCACCAATTGTGCAAGTTCTCCCACTTAAAAAGATGAGAGAGGCCTGTAATTTTCATCATAGGTACACGTCAACTATGACAGACAAATTGAGAGAAAAAAAATCCAGAAAATCACATTGTAGGATTTTTTATGAATTTATTTGCAAATTATGGTGGAAAATAAGTATTTGGTCACCTACAAACAAGCAAGATTTCTGGCTCTCACAGACCTGTAACTTCTTCTTTAAGAGGCTCCTCTGTCCTCCACTCGTTACCTGTATTAATGGCACCTGTTTGAACTTGTTATCAGTATAAAAGACACCTGTCCACAACCTCAAACAGTCACACTCCAAACTCCACTATGGCCAAGACCAAAGAGCTGTCAAAGGACACCAGAAACAAAATTGTAGACCTGCACCAGGCTGGGAAGACTGAATCTGCAATAGGTAAGCAGCTTGGTTTGAAGAAATCAACTGTGGGAGCAATTATTAGGAAATGGAAGACATACAAGACTACTGATAATCTCCCTCGATCTGGGGCTCCACGCAAGATCTCACCCCGTGGGGTCAAAATGATCACAAGAACGGTGAGCAAAAATACCAGAACCACACGGGGGGACCTAGTGAATGACCTGCAGAGAGCTGGGACCAAAGTAACAAAGCCTACCATCAGTAACACACTACGCCGCCAGGGACTCAAATCCTGCAGTGCCAGACGTGTCCCCCTGCTTAAGCCAGTACATGTCCAGGCCCGTCTGACGTTTGCTAGAGTGCATTTGGATGATCCAGAAGAGGATTGGGAGAATGTCATATGGTCAGATGAAACCAAAATAGAACTTTTTGGTAAAAACTCAACTCGTCGTGTTTGGAGGACAAAGAATGCTGAGTTGCATCCAAAGAATACCATACCTACTGTGAAGCATGGGGGTGGAAACATCATGCTTTGGGGCTGTTTTTCTGCAAAGGGACCAGGACGACTGATCCGTGTAAAGGAAAGAATGAATGGGGCCATGTATCGTGAGATTTTGAGTGAAAACCTTCCATCAGCAAGGGCATTGAAGATGAAACGTGGCTGGGTCTTTTCAGCATGACAATGATCCCAAACTCACCGCCCGGGCAACGAAGGAGTGGCTTCGTAAGAAGCATTTCAAGGTCCTGGAGTGGCCTAGCCAGTCTCCAGATCTCAACCCCATAGAAAATCTTTGGAGGGAGTTGAAAGTCTGTGTTGCCCAGCGACAGCCCCAAAACATCACTGCTCTAGAGGAGATCTGCATGGAGGAATGGGCCAAAATACCAGCAACAGTGTGTGAAAACCATGTGAAGACTTACAGAAAACGTTTGACCTGTGTCATTGCCAACAAAGGGTATATAACAAAGTATTGAGAAACTTTTGTTATTGACCAAATACTTATTTTCCACCATAATTTGCAAATAAATTCATTAAAAATCCTACAATGTGATTTTCTGGATTTTCTTTTCTCATTTTGTCTGTCATAGTTGACGTGTACCTATGATGAAAATTACAGGCCTCTCTCATCTTTTTAAGTGGGAGAACTTGCACAATTGGTGGCTGACTAAATACTTTTTTCCCCCACTGTAGACAGGTGTGTGCCTTTCCAAATCATGTCCAATCAATTGAATTTACCACAGGTGGACTCCAATCAAGTTGTAGAAACATCTCAAGGATGATCAATGGAAACAGGATGCACCTGAGCTCAATTTCGAGTCTCATAACAAAGGATCTGAATACTTATGTAAATAAGGTATCTTATTTTTATATGCATTTGCAAAGATTTCTAAAAACCTATTTTCGCTTTGTCATTATGGGGTATTTTGTGTAGATTAATAATTATTTTATTTATTTAATCAATTTTAGAATAAGGTTGTAACGTAACAAAATGTAGAAAAAGGGAAGGGGTCTGAATACTTTCCCCGAATGCACTGTAGGTGGATGCGGTGGATTGAGACGCATCCAATGCAAAATAACATATCTCTAGCTTAAACTGATGGATTTTGGGGGGATTTATTTATTATGCTTATTAGATTTCCTTGGGGGCGCGGACATCGACCTTAAGGGGATTTAAGTGCTGAAATATAAAATTGTTTAGTGCAAATCCAACCCTTAATGTAGGTACAGTATGAAAATAAGATGACAACTAGGCTACAGGAGATTAGCATTACAGTTAACATATGACGTTCATTTTATTTGATTCATTTTAGCAATGTTGCTTGCAAAAGGTTGCAGTTGTTCCTATAGTAAATAGACCAGGGGTATTCAACTCTTACCCTATGTGGTCTGGAGCCTGCTGGTTTTCTGTTCTACCTGATCGCGGTCCAGAGTTGAGTTTGAGGGAGATAGTACATGGTTGCTCTACGTATGCCTGTCTATCACTGACCCTGGATAAGCTAGATACTGGGCTCCCAGCTAACCTTTTCGGTCAATAATATCCTGTTTTTATTATTAACATTTTGTTGGCTTTATAATCATGAGAAATTGAACTATACTGAACAAAAATATGAGCGCAACATGCAACAATTTCAAAGATTTTACTGAGTTAGTTCATATAAGGAAATCAGTCAATTGAAATAAATTCATTAGGCCCAAATGTATGGATTTCGTATGAATGGGAATACAGATATGCATCTGTTGGCCACAGATACCTTTAAAAACAAAAGGTATGGGCATGGATCAGAAAACCAGTCGGTATCTGGTGTGACCACCATTTGCCTCATGCAGCGCAACATTTCCTTCGCATAGAGTTGATCAGGCTGTTGATTGTGGCCTGTGGAATGTTGTCCCACTCATCTTCAATGGCTGTGCAAAGATGCTGGATATTGGCGGAAACTGGAACACGCTGTCATACACGTCGATCCAGAGCATCCCAAATATGCTCAATGGGTGACATGTCTGGTGAGGCCATGGAAGAACTGGGATATTTTCAGCTTCCAGGAATTGTGTACAGATCATTGCATCATGCTGCCGTGCATTATTTTACATTTTAGTCATTTAGCAGATGCTCTTATCCAGAGCGACTTACAGTTAGTGAGTGCATAACATTTTTTTGGGGACAAAACTGCACATTTTTGAGTGGCCTTTTATTGTTTCCAGCACAAGGTGCACCTGTGTAATGATCATGCTGTTTAATCAGCTTCTTGATATGCCACACGTGAATTGAACGTTTCTGGGATCTTTTATTTGAAACATGGGACCAACACTTTACATATTTTTGTTCAGTGTAGCTAGTTATACCTAGGTAGCTTACAAGGTTAGCTGACTTTTCTCAAAACTTACCTCGTTGTAGCTAGCTTCTTCTTGGCCCTCATGCTAGCTTGCACAGCCAAATATCACTCCAGAAACATGTTTACCTCCTATGGGATCAGGCCAGGGACCAATCACAATGGGAATACAACACAAAACATAGTTTGATTGGTCAGATTGTGGCCACACCCAATTTACCAATGAGGGGATTCAATTATCTGGCCCGGGTTACCCCCCGGTGGGAGGAGTTTGCACCGGTTGAAAAGTGATTGCATTCATTTTGGAGGCGGTGTTATGATACTAATGGTTTGTTGAGACTGATGGTTAGTACGGGTGTGGCTACCAGTACAGCTCTATCTAGTTGTCACGTTGGGGATAACAGTTGTTGACAACTGTAGCATTTTAGCTAAGCCTAAACCAAACCCTTTTCCTAACCTTAACCTCATTCTCATAACATGCTACATTAATTCTCAGAACCTGCTGCATTAGTTCTCCTAACCAGTTACGTAAAGTCACTTCTGTCCGTAGCTGGGTTAGGCTTAGCTAGAATGCTACAGTTGTCAACAAACCATCAATCTTGACAAACCATCAGTATCACCACAGGGGCTCCAAGAGATGCACTTCAAAAGTAGGTTTCATATAGGCTATCTAAATACATTTAAATAAATCTATTACTCTGGTGCTTGTTTTTAAAGTTGGGAACACCAGTGCTACCAGTACCAATGAACAAAGCCCTGCCGGTAGCCTTTTTCCCCCCTGAAGTTCTGTTGTGACAATTCCACCCTTGCCTCTGGATGATGGCTGTCTAGGGACCTGGGAACCACGCTGTCTCACCTTCAGGTGCTGTGGATATCTCGCTGCAGCCTGGCAGACCTGGACGGTATCCCCTCCTTCTCCTCTCTCAAGGGAGAGTTTGTAGTGGAAAACTTTTGCAGTGTACCATCTACAAGACCTGTTAATCCACCTGGCTTCTAGCCACCTTGTTCAGCTGTGAAAACCTCACAATTCAACAAAGGTTGAAGTTTTATGTATTTTACTATGTAAAAGTTGAGTTCCACTAAATCTGAGCCTGTGTTGGTATGTCCTCTCTCTACGCTAGGTGCTCTATGTGGCCTATACCAGTGTGTCGGACCTGAGTCAGGCGAGCATGCTGGAGAATCTACAGCTGTTGGACCTGGAAGGGAACGCTGTGGATGACCTGGTGCAGGTGCAGTACCTGGGCCTGTGCTCCCAGCTCCGCACACTCACCCTGAAGGGAAACCCTGTCTGTATGCGCCCCCACCCCAATACCACACAGGTGTTTGCATACACTCCTACACTCCTAACCCTCACCACAACCACAATCATGTGTATTATTGTATACATTACTGAATCTGGATTTTAGATACTCAAGATGTGTGCATATATATATGTGTGTGTGTGTGTCCAGGCATGGGGGTTGTGAGTGTTTGAGTCTGGTGATGAGATTATCCGGAATGACTGTACTACCATGGCTCTGCATGCTGAGCTCAGGCTGTGAGTCATGCTCTCCCCAATGTCTCCCATATGGGCCCAGATGATAATGGCCAAAATGCAGAGACTGTTTGGAGACATGAAAGGCTGGCTGTGATCTCAGGCTCCTGTAAGGGTGTCTGTCTGTCTGCATCAGGCAGAACAGGGTGGGACTGGAGAGCAGGGGACAGGGAATTGGTGTTCAGAGCAAAACAGGCTTTGCTTGTGTGAGTAGGGACGGTACAAGCTGTGGTAAAGTGGTCATGGTTAGTATAGACATTGCTCAACTAGGCAGGGTGGAAAATATACTCTCTTGTCTGTAGGAAGGTTTTTAGCACATGTGTTGAGATGGGAATGAGCCCATATTAAAGTGGTTTATTAAGGTTTCACTATAATGACGTGATGCAGTGTTGAAGTGGTATGAATGGACGAGTGAATATGTTAATTTTTTACCCACCCAACCAGCAGCAGGAATTAGGAAACTAGGGCAGTGAGGGAGGGAAAGCTGATCTGAATATGCATTAGGCTTGGTCCAAGCACTGAGAGAGGGGTCCTTGGGTTTGCTTTTTTTTTGTCGACTCTGGTTGTCTATACCCTTGGTGGAGCACAGAAAGTGCAGCTCTCTCTTTCTTCTCTCTCCTCCCCCTTTGTCTCTCCTCTCTCTTATCTCTCTCTCTCCCCCCTCCCTCTTTTTCTATTGGTTGGTGAAGGGTGAGAGTACTCAGCTCTAATTTGATCTCTTAGCAGCAGCATAGTGCCTTTACTGGTCTCTCTCCCTCCTCTCTGTCCTCTCAGTGCTGATAAAGAACTAGACCACAGTACAAAGTGCAGATTATTGGCATTATTAGCACTTAGTTATCGGCCCACTCAGAACCATGTTCTTTGTTCCTTCTTTGAACAGAAGTTACACTCATTGTGGCTTAAAGCTCTTCTAACAGGGCTATGTTCTGTTACAGTATGTTATACTGGTGTTATGGGGTATGTTTGGCATTGAAAGGCTAACTTTGAAAGGTTGGACTTTCCTTGGCCTTTATCAACCATTCAAATCACAACCAGAGCACAACCTTGGACCCTTTATGCAGTCACCTATCATACTTTATCACCTGTGTAGTCCAGGGGTAGGGAACTCTGCTTCTCCAGGGCTGCACTGGATGCATTTATTCAAACCCTGTTTTATGCTGCAGTAGTTTATGTGTCGGGGGGCTGGGGTTAGTTGGTTATACCTGGAGTACTTCTCCTGTCTTATCCAGTGTCCTGTGTGAATTTAAGTATGCTCTCTCTAATTCTCTCGTTCTCTCTTTCTCTCTGAGAACCTGAGCCCTAGGACCATACGTCGGGACTACCGGCCGTGGTGACTCCTTGCTGTCCCCAGTCCGCCTGGCCTTGCTGCTATTCCAGTTTCAACTGTTCTGCCTGCGGTTATGGAACCCCTACCTGTCCCAGACCTGCTGTTTTCAACTCTTAATGATCGGCTATGAAAAGCCAACTGAGATTTATTCCTGATTATTATTTGACCATGCTTGTCACTTATGAACATTTTTGAACATCTTGGCATGGTTCTGTTATAATCTCCACCCGGCACAGCCAGAAGAGGACTGGCCACCCCTCATAGCCTGGTTCCTCTCTAGGTTTCTTCCTAGGTTTTCGCCTTTCTAGGGAGTTTTTCCTAGCCACCGTGCTTCTACACCTGCATTACTAGCTGTTTGGGGTTTTAGGCTGGGTTTCTGTACAGCACTTCGAGATATTAGCTGATGTAAGAAGGGCTATATAAAATAAAATTGATTGAAATTGATTGATTTAACACACCTAACCTAATTCAACCTGTCATCTGCTTATATGGACCTCGATTAGTTGAATGAGTGCTGGGCTGAAACAAAAGCCTGCACCTACTGCAGCCCTCCAGGATTAGATTCCCCCCACCCTTTGACTGGGCTGGTCTTGTGCAACGGAAAATAGTTGGAGTGGATCTGTTAGCGTCTATTATGTGCCGGCTCTCTTCCTCTTGTGTTTCTTCATCCTGTCTTCTTCTCCTTTCCCTAGTCCGAGGAGGAGGAGGGTTACAGCTACTGGTTGGCGGTAAGGGAGCTCGTCCCACAGCTGCAGTACCTAGATGACATGTGTGCAGAGGAGTAGTCAGGGCCTGGCTGCAGCAGCTCCATGAGGGAAGACTGGGCCCTTCTCAGAGAGTCCATCAAAGACTGCAGAGACGGCACTGTGTGTGTGTGTGTGTGCGCGCACGTGCCTTTCTGCTTCCATCAGGCCATTAATACTACTCTGCATTATACTCTTCTATATTTTCCCTCTTCCCTGTCTGGCCATAGAGGAGAGAGCAGCCAGTGTGATTGCCTACTCCAGACCCAGCTCTGGCCAGCGCCCAGCTAGCAGCCTCTCCAGTTCCCGTCCCTCCAGTCGACCGGTCACTGCCAGGCCCCTCTCAGCAGCCGGCTCCAGACCCCTTTCTGGGTTGTGACCCTTATCAGCGGCTGGGTCCAGAGCCCTCTCTCCTTCCGGGTCCAGACCCAGTTCTGCTGATGCAGATCCAGCCTCTGTGGACCCAGACGCTAGCGTTCTGACGCACGGTGAGACACTGTATTGGTGTCCTTGGCACTGAAAGCCCTACCATCTCCACATCAATGCCTCACTTTCAGTCACTGAATAGGGCCCATATAGTGAACCAGTCTTATTGTTTTGTGTCCTTTTTGTGAGTTATTCAACAGTTCTAATGTATTTGACTTAATTTCAAAAAGTAGCATCCAATTTATAATTACTCGACACTGCCACCATGAGGACATAATGTAACGGTGTCTGAAGATTCATCATCATGTCGTTTTAAATCAGAGCTCATTGATTTTCTGACCCCGGTATTCAGGCATACTATGCCTTCTTTATCCTGTTTCCTAATTTCCTATGTTGTGACAATCCCATCCCTGATTAGCTATCCTCCACAGTAATTCAATGTTTTTTTGTTTCTCTCCAGGTGCAGGGAAGGTCTTGTTCTGTGGAAACCCTGTCCAGGCCATCAGAGCCAGGCAACAGAAGATGAGGGTATGTTAACCCATCAGTGGGGATAAACTAATAAACTGCAGCATCTCAGTTCTTACCTGACAACCTTGAAAGCCATCTCTGGCACGTTGAACACCACAGCAGAGATTTTACAGTTTTCCAGCGCCAAGGGAAAGTGGCCCAGAGTGAAGGTGGAATAGTTATGTGTTGTGACAGGCCATTATGGCTGGGTGGCGTCGCCCCTTGTCTCTCTAATGTGATGTCAGGATGAACAGAAGAAGATGATTATCAGAGAGAGGAGGGGAGGGTGATGGAGGGATGCAGCTGTGGCCCAGGTGACATGACAGACGGAGCTCCCTGCCAACGGCCAACGATCTGTCATCTCTACACACGTCCGTCACTCTCTCAAACTGCTGTCACTCTCTCATTCTCTCTTGGGCTGTCATTCTCTCTCTTTTATACTCTTTCCCTAATTTCTCTTTCGGTTCTTCACTATATTTCTTCTTCCTCTGCCTCCATCCTTATTCTATATCTCCATCCCTCTCTCACCATTCCTGTCGTTCTATCCCTCCCTCTTAGTCCCTTGCTACCTCTGATTCCCTCTCTCTACTCCCTTTACCCTCTATCTTGAACCTCATCCATCTCTCTCTCCCTATGCAGATGCCACTCCCACCTCTGTGTAAACCTCTGTCTTTAACATCATAATGTCTACCTCCCTGTCTCATCTCCCTCTCCCTACCTTTGTATGCAGACTGCAGCCCCCTCACCTGTGTCCACTCCGAGAGCCCCACCCCTCTATGTTTTGGAGCACATGTATGACCTTTTGGAGCAGGATGGACGCCAGCGCAGCGACGTGTTCTCTGAGGGGGGGGAGGAGCCGGGTCGAGTCACTGGGCAAACACTGGCCCGCCAGACTTATCTTTCCAATCCCCCTCTTCAGGCGAGTCTCTCTCACCTCTGGTTTACAAGGTCATCAAACATGTCAAACCTAATCAGTATATGAAATATAAAACCAAGAAACTTAAATATAAATCCAAGGATTTGAACACAGAAGAACTGGAAATCACACTACCACAATGCAATATCAAATGTTCTCTAATAAACTGTTTCATTTACAGATGTGTTTCAGATAAAAGCCAAATCCCCTGAAGGGCCTCTATCTCCCTGTCCCCTGAATCCACTCTGACGCCCTCTCCCCCTCAAAGCGCCACATCAGCCCCTGGTGGCCGGAGGCTGTCAGAGCTGCGAGCGCGCAGACTGAGGCTTAGTGGTGGGGTGGCTGAGGCTGGGGCTGGGACTGCTGTAAAGCCTACTAAAGACCACACAGAGCTAGGGCCAATTAGAAGAGACCCAGGCTTTGAGGAACCAAGGGCTCCAGGAGGCTATGAGGCCCAAAGTCCCTCTGCTTCCCAAGGCTACTCAGCACATGCCCCACAGTCCAGCCCCTGGTCCGAGGGCTCAGGTCACCGACAGGCGGAGCTTCTGTGCAGTCGAGCAAAGGGCATCAACTAATCACCTCGTGCAGACCACCAGAGAGGCCGGCCATCATGCGTCCTCACACAGCCAGGGCAGCTCTGCAGAAAACGCCACAGCCTCTCACACTCCAGCCCAGCAGGGGGAACTCTCACTTAGACTGAGTCACACACTGTGTGTGTGATGTATGGGGTTGTTTCCTGAGAGGGGAACCCTTAAGACAGGAGCAGAGGCAGAGATGGAACGGAGGCAAAGATTGAGATTGTCCTCCGCTCTCTTTTGAGCTGAGCTATCTTGTGATGTGGAGACTTCCTTAGAGAGCAGTGACAGGTCTCCATCTATGTTATGTTTAGGGAAGAGGACCCTTGGGGCTGGATTACATCCAACAATCGCCTGAAGAGTGGAACATAGAATCGATGGAATCCAAGTGTGAACTTCCTATCTCAGTGTTTTGACTCCCTCTGCTGTACAGTTAGAGAATCACGTGCATTCCTCTTTTCTCTCCCAGCTCAGAATGATACAGTACTGACACTGATACTGATCTCACAGTGCCATTACTGAGGACAACGGCCCCATTTTAAAGTGTTTATAGTTTGGTCCAAGATATATTTATTGGAATGACCTTAAAATTAAATTAGTTTTTTATGCTGAATTGTTGTTGAACTTAAGTGTGTTTCACGTCTTTTCTCATATGTGTTTTTCAGGTTGTACAGTTTTATTCACTCAAATACTACCTTATCTGCACCTTAAATAAAAACATAATTTGATCAACTAATCATTTCTTTAATGGAACAATTTGTTCTTGACTAGCTTAGTAAGATCAAATGTTTTAGTTGTTAAATCATGTCTAAAGGTTGAATCTATCACGTTTTGTTAAGCTATAAAGAAAGCGTGTAGCGCTCAATCAAGGATTATTCTGCAATGGAACAAACTATCATCCTTCAATCAATCAATCAAATGTATTTATAAAGCCCTTTTTACATCAGCAGATGTCACAAAGTGCTATACAGAAACCCAGCCTAAAACCCCAAACAGCAAGCAATGCGGATGTAGAAGCACGGTGGCTAGGAAAAACTCCCTAGAAAGGCAGGAACCTAGGAAGAAACCTAGAGAGGAACCAGGCTCTGAGGGGTGGCCAGTCCTCTTCTGGCTGTGCCAGGTGGAGATTATAAGAGTACATGGCCATTTAAGGCCAGATTGTTCTTCAAGACGTTCAAACGTTCATAGATGACCAGCAGGGTCAAATAATAATCAGTGGTTGTTGAGGGTGCAACCGGTCAGTACCTCAGGAGTAAATGTCAGTTGGCTTTTCATAGCCGAGCATTCAGAGGTCGAGACAGCAGGTGCGGTAGAGAGAGAGTGTAGAAAACAGCAGGTCCTGTACAAGGTAGCACGTCCGGTGAACAGGTCAGGGTTCCCTAGCCGCAGGCAGAACAGTTGAAACTGGAGCAGCAGCACGACCAGTTGGACTGGGGACAGCCAGGAGTCATCAGGCCAGGTAGTCCTGAGGCATGATCCTAGGGCTCAGGTCCTACGGGAGGGAGAGAGAGAGAATTAGAGGGAGCATACTTCAATTCACACAGGACACCAGATAAGACAGGATAATTACACCAGATATAACAGACTGACCCTAGCCCCCCGGCACATGGACTATTGCAGCATAGATACTGCAGACTGAGACAGGGGTGGGTCGGGGGACACTGTGGCCCCCGGACAGGGCCAACCAGGCAGGATATAACCCCACCCACTTTGCCAAAGCACAGCCCCCACACCACTAGAGGGATATCAACAGACCACCAACTTACTACCCTGAGACAAGGCTGAGTATAGGCCACAAAGATCTCCTCCACTGCACGAGCCCGAGGGGGCGCAAAACTGGACAGGAAGATCACGTCTGTGACTCAACACACTCAAGTGACATACCCCTCCTAGGGACGGCATGGAAGAGCACTAGTAATCCAGTGACTCAGCCCCCGTAATAGGGTCAGAGGCAGAGAATCCCAGTGGAGAGAGGGGAGCCGGCCAGACAGAGACAGCAAGGGCGGTTCGTCGCTCCAGTGCCTTGCCGTTCACCTTCGCACCCCTGGGCCAGACTACACTCAATCATAGGACCTACTGAAGAGATGAGTCTTCAGTAATTACTTAAAGGTCGAAACAGAGTCTGCGTCTCTCACATGGATAGGCAGACCATTCCATAAAAATTGAGCTCTATAGGAGAAAGCTCTGTCTCCAGCTGTTTGCTTAGAAATTCTAGGGGACAATAAGGAGGCCTGCGTCTTGTGACTGTAGCATACGTGTAGGTATATACGGCAGGACCAAATCAGAGAGATAGGTAGGAGCAAGCCCATGTAATACTTTGTAGGTTAGCAGTAAAACCTTGAAATCAGCCCTAGCCTTAACAGGAAGCCAAGAGGCTAGCACTGGAGTAATATTATCACATTTTTGGGTTCTGGTCAGGATTCTAGCAGCCGTGTTTAGCACTAAGTTTATTTAGTGCTTTATCCGGGAAGCCGGAGAGTAGAGCATTGCAGTAGTCTAATCTAGAAGTGACAAAAGCATGGATGAGCTTTTCTGCATCATTTTTGGACAAAAGGTTTCTGATTTTTGCAATGTTTACGAAGATTGAAAAAAGATGTCCATTAAATATTCTTGATATGTTTGTCAAAAGAGAGATCAGGGTCCAGAGTAACGCCGAGGTCCTTCACAGTTTTATTTGAGACGACTGTACCATCAAGATTAATTGTCAGATCCAACAGCAGATCTCTTTGTTTCTTGGGACCTAGAACTAGCATCTCTGTTTTGTCCGAGTTTAAAAGTAAAAAATATGCCGCCATGCACTTCCTTATGTCTGAAACACAGGCTTCCAGGGTAGGCAATTTTGGGGCTTCACCATGTTTCATCGAAATGTACAGCTGTGTGTTGTCCGCATAGCAGTGAAAGTTGACATTGTGTTTCTGAATGACATCACCAAGAGGTAGAATATATAGTGAAAATAATTGATTTGTCAGAGGACAAACCATCCACAGAGATGAACTGATATCTTTCCGACAGATAAGATCTAAACCAGGCAAGAACTTGTCAGTGTAGACCAATTAGGGTTTCTAATCTCTCCAAAATAATGTGGTGATCGATGGTGTCAAAAGCCGCACTAAGGTCTAGGAGCACGAGGACAGATGCAGAGCCTTGGTCTGACGCCATTAAAAGGTCATTTACCACCTTCACATTTTAGTAGACGCTCTTATCCAGAGCGACTTACAGTTAGTGAGTGCATACATTTTCATACTGGCCCCCTGTGGGAAACAAACCCACAACCCTTGCATTGCAAGCGCCATGCTCTACCAACTGAGCTACAGGGACTGCACTGAGACGAGTGCAGTCTCAGTGCTATGATGGGGTGTAAACCCAGACTGAAGCATTTTGTAGACATTATTTGTCTTCAGGAAGGCAGTGAGTTGCTGCGCAACAGCTTTTTCAAAAAGTATTGAGAGGAATGGGAGATTCTATATAGGCCGATAGTTTTGTTTTACATTTTCCGGGTCAAGGTTTGGCTTTTTCAAGAGGGGCTTTATTGCTGCCACTTTTAGTGAGTTTGGTACACATCCGGTGGATAGGGAGACATGTATTATGTTCAACATAGGAAGGCCAAGCACAGGAAGTTGCTCTTTCAGTAGTTTAGTTGGAATAGGGTCCAGTATGCAGCTTGACGGTTTAGAGGCCATGACTATTTTCATGAATGTGTCGAGATATAGGATTAAAAAACTTGTGCGTCTCCATTGATCCTAGGTCCTGGCAGTTCTGTGCAGACTCAGGACAGCTGAGCTTTGGAGAAATACGCAGATTCAAAAGAGGAGTCCGCAATTTGCTTTCTAATGATCAAGATCTTTTCATCGAAGAAGTTCATGAATTTATCACTGCTGAAGTGAAAGCTATCCTCTCTTGTTGAATGCTGCTTTGTAGTTAGCTTTGCGACAGTATCAAAAAGAAGTATTGGATTGTTCTTATTCTCCTCAATTAGGTTGGAAAAATAGGATGATCGAGCAGCAGTGTGGGATCTTCGATATTGCACGGTACTGTCTTTCCAAGCTAGACGGAAGACTTCCAGTTTGGTGGAGCGCCATTTCCGTTACAATTTTCTGTAAGCTTGCTTTAGGGCTTGGGTATTTTCTGTATACCAGGGAGCAAATTTATTGTGACAAATGTTTTTTGTTTTTAGGGGTGTGACTGCATCTAGGGTATTACGCAAGGTTAAATTTAGATCCTCAGTTAGGTGGTTAACCGATTTTTGTACTCCGACGTCCTTGGGTAAGTGGAGGGAGTCTGGAAGGGTATCTAGGAATCTTTGGGTTGTCCGAGAATTTATAAGCATGGCTTTTGATGGTCCTGGGTTGGGGTCTGAGCAGATTATTTGTTGCGATTGCAAACGTAATAAGATGGTGGTCCGATAGTCCAGGATTATGAGGAAAAACATTTAGATCAACAATATTTATTCCACGGGACTAACTAGATCCAGGGTATGACTGTGGCAATGAGTAGGTCCGGAGATCCACTGAGTCGATGATGGCTCCCGATAGCCTTTTGGAGTGGGTCTGTGGACTTTTCCATGTGAATATTAAAGTCACCAAAAATTTGAATATTATCTGCCAAGGTCCGATAGGAATTCCGGGAACTCAGTGAGGAACGCTGTATACGGCCCTGAATGCCTGTAAACAATAGTTATAAAAAGTGATTGAGTAGGCTTTCCCTACTCTGTGTTGGTGTGGCAATATTGTGCCAATTGGGGGCGCCACAACACTCACTGCTGCCACTACCCTTTTGTGAACACACTACAGCCATAAAACTATTCAAGACCCAGATTCTACTCTCCACTTGGGGCAGGATCAAAGAGAGTATAATAGCCAGGGGTGCTACTTTCACTGTGGAAATTTGCATTTTTGTCCCCCACAATTTTATAATTGGTATGTGATACAAAATGGAAACGGTGTGCTTTAGGACCATGCAGACGCCTCTGAGCGGTTGGGTAGGCTGTTTGGAGTGTTTAT